GCAGCAGAGGCTATGGCCAACACTCTCCCACACACCACACACAACCCACTCGCGCTCACACTCACACCCGTGTTGGTCATAGACCCCACTAATACCGATCAGGGGTATCCAGAGGACTATCACAGTACGTTGGCACTAAGTGTGCCGCAGGCGGCCATGGGGCTCGAACCCACAACCTCCTGAATGCCACTTGCATTTTCTGCCTGCCCGACATCGAACTTTTCTTTTAAAAAAAAAAAAAAAAAACATCCTGCGTCAATAGATAGGAGCGATGATAAGGGCATTTACACTCCTACCTGTCTTGCAGGGGGCTCCATTCTGTTGGTGGGGACCCCGGAGCTACACCTGGTGGAAAGTGGATCCACCGTCCCTTGAGATATAATGATAAAATGATTGATCAGCACAAACTGGGAACACGGTACCTGCTGGAAACGAGGTCCAACTTTTTTTTTTTTTTTTTGGAAACTGGGTCCGACTTGGCGCCATCCAAATTCAAATTTTGAAAAGTTGTGTCGACTTCGTTGTTTGCTCCCAGTTGCGGCCCGCTTTTCCCTCGTCTTGTGTTGTCCACGCCAACAGTTCTGCTTGCCACAGGCCAAGTAAGACGCGACAAAGCCCCCCCTCCTCCTGACACCTTTCCCCGTCCACTTGCCCATCTTCCTCGACCTCCTCCCCCTTGCACTTGCTCTCCTCCTCCCGCTTCATCTCCAGCACCTTCCCTCCTCCTCCTTTACACCCACCCTCTTGCTTCCACCTGACATTTTCCCCCTCCGCTTGGCCGTCTTCCTCTGCCTCCTCCCCCCCGCACTTGCTCGCCTCCTCCCTCTTCATCTTCAGCACCTTCCCTCCTCCTCCTCTACTCCCACCTTCCTGCTTCTATCTCCAGCGTCTTCCCTCCTCCTCCTCTACTTCCACCTTCCCGCCTCCATCGTTACACATTTCCCGTCATTTCCAATCTCCTCCGGACGAGAAACGACGGGTGAGTGTAGTGATGAAGGCCAAAAGATGGGGCATGGAAAATAATGCATCGCCTTCGGGTCGTTGTCCATGTGCTCTACTGCCACCTTCCTGCCTCCATGGCTGCACTTTCTCGTCGTCTTCCGTCCGGAGGAAATGGAAAAAGAAAGGAAATGTGTAGCGATGGAGGCGGGAAGGTGGAAGTAGAGGAGGAGAAAGAGGGAAAGAAACAGCAAAACACAAAATGGGTAAAACAACCCCATTTACTGTTCCCCAGCAGGCACTAGCATATGCGCAACCCAACCCCAATATCCAAAATCCAATCCGAGCCACCATGTGGCAGTCTCCACTGCATCTGGAAATCCCCATGAACCAGGGTGTGGACAACATGGCAAAAAACGGAAGTTTTTTTCTCCTTTCTAGCGCTGGGAACAGACGTAGTTGGAGGGCTATTTTGCCACCCTCTGAATAGCAGCCTTGCAATTAGATGTCAGAAAAAAAAAAAAAAAAAAAAAAAAAAAAAAAAAAAAAAAAAAAAAAAAAAAAAAAAAAAAAAAAAAAAAAAAGGGCGCCAGCTACTACACTGGCGGTGACATGCGCATTTCACATTCATAGTCCCCACCTTGCATTTTTATCATGTACGAAAAGAAATTGCCTTGAAACCTACGCTACCGGCCAGGACGTCCGGGCCGCCTTTCAGTCGTCCGGATGTCCATCCCAACCACATGTCCGTTCCCAGCACACATGAGACAAAGAACCACCTTTTTTGGCCAGGAATTGCATTTTTTTTTTTATTAAATATTTTTGTATTTATTATATTTTAGAATTGCAAATTTGGAGACGGCTCCCGGGCAAAAGCTGTTTGTATCGGAAAACAGAATAACACTCTTTTTTGTAGATTTTTTTTTTTTTACTTCTTGTTTTCCCGCAGACGTCCAGAAAATTTACAGACGACGAAATCCATGCATGATGCCTGGGCCGAACGTCTTCCCCCCCCCCCCC